TATCCGCTGTAGCTGAGGCAGCCAGCCAGACATGGCGATATGTACGTGATGCCACTGTCCGAGCACACCGGGTCCCAGACGTCTGCCGAGCACGAACAGTTGCTGTTGCACTCAGAGAAGAGCGTTTGGCCCCCGCGTAACACTCCCGGCATCCTGTCAGCGAACGGTAAAAAGAACATTCTTTTATACTGTACTGGATAACCGTCATCTAAACCCCCACATCCCCACTATACCCCCACCTCCTCGCCAAAAGTACTGACCCATTGTATGAGGTGGTGAGTCCAGCCACGGGAATGTTGTCGCACTTGGTGAAGAATTTGAGAAACACGAGGAGGTAGGCGCCGAGGGACACCGCGAAAGAGAACTGAGCCCCTGACACAACGCTGAGCTTGTATCGCTTCATCACGACACCCCCGAGAAAGATCCCCACGGCAACGGCCGGGAGTGTCAGCACCCCTGCAAATAAAAATAGGAAAGGAAAAAAAAAAAGGGGGAGTTAAAGTGGGCAATTTAGCAACCCACCTCTCTACTGTCCTTCCCCTTTCGCTGTTATTTGACTTCCTTATCTGATCGACATGACACAACTATGCGAGGCATCAAATGAATTTGAATTCCTTTGCACTATGTTGCTACGTGTCCGTAAATCCTTTAGATGTGAGAACAGGCCAATGGTTTCCCTTTTCCTAATTCGATCCACACTTGTGCCTTTAACCCTTTCATGCACCATTAATGATAAACATGATCACATCATAGGCTGTCCACTGTAGCGACCGCTGTCCCTGAAAGGGTTTTTAAAAAAAATGCATCAAAAGAAATGTCATTTTACCGATGAGGAAATTGGCTCTGGATGCCGACTGTCCAAACTGTTGCTCGATATATTTGGCATTAAAGGTGAACATGCCAACGAGGGAGTTGAACTTGAGCGTGCTGCCGCAAATAAGTAGGAAGTAGGTGGGATTACACAGCAGGTGCTTCAGCGAGGAAAGAAACCCTTCAAGAGATCAAGCAAAGTGCTTTCAGTTTGATGGTATACAGGATTTGTGGTTCAAAAAGTCAAAGCTCCGTCAAACCTTTGGCAACGTCTGCTGTCTTTGTTACGGGCTTGTTGTTGGTACAATCCGCTCTTGGATTCGGATTCTCCTTCTCGGGTACGGGTTTGGCCTCTTTGACATCGGGTGAGCGGGGGAAGAACCAGAAGGGAATGCTGGCGAGGAAGAGGAGGCCGGCGGACACCAGCATACCCAACCACCAAGCTCCCACCCAGCGAGCATCGTTTGGAGAGATGGTTACACTTTCTGGGAAGGAGCAGAAGATTTGAATTATTTTCAAACTAGAGGAGGGGTGCCCAAGTTTGGTCCTCGAGAGTCCCTATTCAGGCTGTTCCAGATGTCTCCCTCGTCCAACACCAACTGATTCAAATGGAGGGTGACGTCTAAAACAAGCTTGATTGGGGCTCTCAAGGAGCAGACTTGGGTAACCCCCGACCTAGGATTCCAGTGGTACATCGACTTCCGAAATGAATTGGTTCTGAAAGAAATTTCTTCACAAGTTTGTCAGTAGAGACACGTTTTCCATGTAAATGCCCTAATTTGTTCCATGCCCACCCAAAATTCAGACAAAAGTTTTTCCTAAAGCATAAAAATGCATGGCTGATTGAACACTTAAAAGTGTCCCTAGGTGCGAGTGTGAGCACGGATGCTTGTTAGTCTCTGTGTGCCCTGCAATCGGCTGGCAACCGGTTCAGGGTGTCCCCCGCCTACTGCCCGAAGACAGCTGGGATAGGCTCCAGCACTCCCCTCGACCCTTGTGAGGATAAAGCGGAACAGAAAATGGATGGATGGATGGATGGATGGATCAATATCAATGTACCACTCGATTGCAAAACCGACCTTATAGTGACCATGTAAGCAGGCGTGATTCCCAGGGAGCTGATAAAGGCGCTGAGAACGGACACGGCCATGTAGGAGGTGAAACTGCGGCTGCAGCTTTTGGCTTGGGGGCACTGCCCCAGTTTGACGGATGTACTGCTGCCCGCCGGGAAGGAAGCAGACACGCAAGTGCAGTTGTGGAACACCTGTAGGAGGAGGTTAGATTTTTCCTTATCTGTGGTTGTTTGGAGTTTGTCTCCGGAATGCACCTTTGGGCAACATTGTGTTTTCTGTCGACGGCTAAAAAGCAATGAGGGGGGGGGGCCCTACTGTTTTTTTGCCGTATCCGCTGTAGCTGAGGCAGCCAGCCAGACATGGCGATATGTACGTGATGCCACTGTCCGAGCACACCGGGTCCCAGACGTCTGCCGAGCACGAACAGTTGCTGTTGCACTCAGAGAAGAGCGTTTGGCCCCCGCGTAACACTCCCGGCATCCTGTCAGCGAACGGTAAAAAGAACATTCTTTTATACTGTACTGGATAACCGTCATCTAAACCCCCACATCCCCACTATACCCCCACCTCCTCGCCAAAAGTACTGACCCATTGTATGAGGTGGTGAGTCCAGCCACGGGAATGTTGTCGCACTTGGTGAAGAATTTGAGAAACACGAGGAGGTAGGCGCCGAGGGACACCGCGAAAGAGAACTGAGCCCCTGACACAACGCTGAGCTTGTATCGCTTCATCACGACACCCCCGAGAAAGATCCCCACGGCAACGGCCGGGAGTGTCAGCACCCCTGCAAATAAAAATAGGAAAGGAAAAAAAAAAAGGGGGGAGTTAAAGTGGGCAATTTAGCAACCCACCTCTCTACTGTCCTTCCCCTTTCGCTGTTATTTGACTTCCTTATCTGATCGACATGACACAACTATGCGAGGCATCAAATGAATTTGAATTCCTTTGCACTATGTTGCTACGTGTCCGTAAATCCTTTAGATGTGAGAACAGGCCAATGGTTTCCCTTTTCCTAATTCGATCCACACTTGTGCCTTTAACCCTTTCATGCACCATTAATGATAAACATGATCACATCATAGGCTGTCCACTGTAGCGACCGCTGTCCCTGAAAGGGTTTTTAAAAAAAATGCATCAAAAGAAATGTCATTTTACCGATGAGGAAATTGGCTCTGGATGCCGACTGTCCAAACTGTTGCTCGATATATTTGGCATTAAAGGTGAACATGCCAACGAGGGAGTTGAACTTGAGCGTGCTGCCGCAAATAAGTAGGAAGTAGGTGGGATTACACAGCAGGTGCTTCAGCGAGGAAAGAAACCCTTCAAGAGATCAAGCAAAGTGCTTTCAGTTTGATGGTATACAGGATTTGTGGTTCAAAAAGTCAAAGCTCCGTCAAACCTTTGGCAACGTCTGCTGTCTTTGTTACGGGCTTGTTGTTGGTACAATCCGCTCTTGGATTCGGATTCTCCTTCTCGGGTACGGGTTTGGCCTCTTTGACATCGGGTGAGCGGGGGAAGAACCAGAAGGGAATGCTGGCGAGGAAGAGGAGGCCGGCGGACACCAGCATACCCAACCACCAAGCTCCCACCCAGCGAGCATCGTTTGGAGAGATGGTTACACTTTCTGGGAAGGAGCAGAAGATTTGAATTATTTTCAAACTAGAGGAGGGGTGCCCAAGTTTGGTCCTCGAGAGTCCCTATTCAGGCTGTTCCAGATGTCTCCCTCGTCCAACACCAACTGATTCAAATGGAGGGTGACGTCTAAAACAAGCTTGATTGGGGCTCTCAAGGAGCAGACTTGGGTAACCCCCGACCTAGGATTCCAGTGGTACATCGACTTCCGAAATGAATTGGTTCTGAAAGAAATTTCTTCACAAGTTTGTCAGTAAAGACACGTTTTCCATGTAAATGCCCTAATTTGTTCCATGCCCACCCAAAATTCAGACAAAAGTTTTTCCTAAAGCATAAAAATGCATCAAAATATGTAACAAATGTTACGATTAGATTATCGCACAATAAATGAGAGTTGTGCATCATGTAAAAAACAAAGAATAGAGTAAAGAATAAAAATGACGGTCATTTAACTTTTAACTGCGTCCTCATCGTTTTTTGCCCTCTTTAGTCCATGTTCTCTCTCTCAGAAGTGTTTTTTGCCTGGCCTTTTGTAAAACACTGATCCAAGGATGTTTGCTTTTCTCGGCTTTTAACAATCCTTTCGAAAATGTCCAAAGCAAACATCAGCATAGTGAGCGATCGCCCGACTGGTGAACACTTTTTTTGGGTGATTCACATTCACAAAACCATTGGAACACCTCCTGGGCGAATGACGAGGACGCTGCATCGACACCTAACTATCCAATCTACACACAAAGACACATCGAAGTCCATCTTAGCCAATGGGATGCCAGGATGATGCTCGGTAATAGCCAATGGCAGAGCAGCTACGAGTATGTTGCATTCAGGAAACTCCGAGTTGCGAATAGCGAGCCAGACTATATCTATACCTTTCGTATGTTGAAATTTCTTTCGTAACAAGAGGCAATATTTTCCTGTTGAGATGTTTTGTAATTTGAAAATTTCATATGAAGAGAAGTTCGTAAATCGAGGTGCCACTGTATATACCATATGATGCCTGAGCCTTACGTCCTTTTCACACTGCACTTAGCTGTCGTCAAACCCGTTCATCGTGTGTTGATGAGAGGCAGGGACTTCAATGAAGAGGGGCTTGTCCTG